AGAAATGTTATTATTTAAAAATGTTTTGAAATGTTTCGTTTTTTAAAATGTAAAAACATTTGTTTATTTTCTCGACGTTTGACACGTTTTGTCTATACTAAACGAATAAAAACATAAGTTTTTCAAATAATTATTTTTTCTTTTTAAAAAGTCAGAGAGTAATAAACTGGAAATTCTAATTTTGTACGATTAAAAACTGTGCAATAGCTAATATTTTTACTAGCGATTTTATATAATATATATATTTTTTAATTTATTTATTTTTATTTATTTTCATAAAGCGGTTGATCACTCGTATTATTGAAAAACTTTAACGAACGTTTTGAATAGATTTTTAATGTTTACAAAGAATTTTATTTTTGGTAAAATAAAATAAAATAAAATGTTAGAATAAAAATCTTTTAGGTATAAAAGAAATATTTCAGCGAAAAAATTATTATCAAAAATTATTCGAAAAACTATTGACGTTCTATTTTTCAGCAGCTGTTCTTGAGCACGCTTCGTTGAGTTTCGGTAACTTTTAACAAAAAAGCGATTGTTATTATTTAAGTAATTTTTTTCGAGTTACTTTTTACAAAAATTTTAACTGTACTTTTTTATTGAATCAAGTTGAATACGTTTTAATATTAATCCTTTTATTTTTATTTATTTGTGCTTACCAATTTTTAAAATGTTTTTAACAGTTAATAAATATTTTTAAATCTATGGAATAATTTTAAAACCTAACAAACCCCTGTAAAATAATTATTTAAGTTAAAAATCTAAAACTAAAAGAAAGTATTTTTGTTCAATTTTATCGACAACTTTGCTATTGCTGATTAATTTTATTAAAATGTTAGCTTAAAAAGATTTCAACTTTTTTTTAATCTGAATTTTTCTACTTGTAAATAATGAGCATATTTATTTTATTCAAACTTTTAAAAGTAACTTACGTTACACAAATTTAAAATAAAATTGTGCTCTAACTAAGCATTGTTATTCAAAATTTAAATGCAAAAATTTTAAATTTAATATTCTTTCGCATATATTAATAAAAAACTTGAGTTTTTTAACTCAATTTTATAACAATCGAAACTTTATCATGTTTTGGTTAACTTATGTTACATGAAAGTTGCAAAAGTTCATTCGTTATTTTCTTAGAATATATATACTTTATAAAGTATAAAATCTGACCAACAACAATTTGAACATGTTAGCTCCATTTTCACGCTAATTTAATTCCTATTATGCAAATAAATTCATGGTTATAATAACATTTTACAATGATACCTTTTTTATCATGTGACAATAAGAAAAACCGTAACTTAATTAATTAATTTTAGTGCTAAAGGTATATTTTAAATAAATTTTCATGTGTCTACATCAATATTCATTTGCTAAAAGTTGAAGAAAAATAGAATAAAATTTGACTACTTTTTCATTTTGCGCTGTGGAATTGTTTATATAAAGGTACTATTTTAATTATAATAGTAATAATAATAATAATACAGTAGCCATGGTGCAGCAATAGCGCGCTTGCCTCAAAAACAAAGGATCCGTGGTTCAAACCCCACCTCTGAGCAAATTTTGCGACATTGGTTTGGAAGGAGGTATGAACTTCCATTTAAATGCTCATCTGCAGCGCTCTGTGATAAGATCGTAAGGACTTCTTGGGGCACCTAAATAAAATGCATCCACATTGGCTAAAAGGCTGGTGCATAGGTACAATTTATATATGCAAAATATATACCTAATATTATTATACTACCTTCATATACATACATTAAACCCTATTATTAGCCACAATCGGCCTTTTTCATTGGTACATCACTATTCAAAGGTAATGAATGTTTTGTCTAAGTCAGTGTTCAATAATGCCTGAGTTTTATTTTTATTTATGGTGATGTTAATCAATCTATCTGGTGAGTTAATTGAGACTATGACTGAAGAGAGTACTGTACTCTTGTCCTTATCGTCTGTGCTTTTTTTTTAAACCACGGCTATCTTAGTGTAGGTTTTATTCTCTGTTTTTCAACAGACAAACGCTTGTCTAGTGACATTTTTTTTAAAATTTATGCAGGTAGAATTTTGTTTTGGCATTTTTTGTCAAAAAGCAAGAGGTTTTGGTAATTGTTTGATTTTTTGTAGCTGCAAAACTTGGTAGTACGGTTGTAGCAGTCATGGTTTTCATTGTTAGATTGAGAGCATCTTCAGCGACCAATTCCATAGTTAGGGCTGTTTTGTAAAGTACATCTAGATTCTTTTCTGTAGATTCGAGTTGTCACTGTTGAATAGTAGGCGAGTAAATCACTGAAATAAAGGCATCACATATTAACAAATTTCTATGTTGATTGGCAGTAAGGGACTGTGAGACTTTTTTTTGGAGACTTTCTGGCAAACTGTTTGAGGTTAGTCATAAAGTTTTCAACTCATTCTCTCTCATGTTGCTTAAGTGATTGAAAATTGTGATACATCATGATTGCTGTTGACCATTTTTGAAATTTGTGATAGAGTTTGCTATTTCCTCTTTATATAAGGTTGCATCTTGAATTATGGTAAACACTTTTACTCCACATAAAACAAATAAGACTTCAAGTTTACTTTCTAGAACGTAATTAATGTATATATAGTTTACTTAAGTGTCAAATCTTAAACAACGGAAAATGACATCACCGTTTTAGAATGCATTATTCAGGCCTTGTGATGAATAAAAACTGCGCGACGCATAAGCACGACATGATTTTTGACATCATTAAATTCTTTTTATTTGCTTTTCATATTTATTGACATTGACTGCACCAATTTACTTAATTACCGCAAAACTACTTTAAATCATTAATTGTAGAAATGTTATTATTTTAAAATGTTTTGGAATGTTTTGTTTTTTAAAATGTAAAAACATTTGTTTATTTTCTTGACGTTTGACACGTTTTGTCTATACTAAACGAATAAAAAACATTATAACTGAACATTTAAAAAAGATTATAAAATATGCTAATATTTGATTTTTTTTCCCTCAAATATGTAATTTAAAGTTTTTCAAATAATTATTTTTTCTTTTTAAAAAGTTAGCGAGTAATAAACTGGAAATTTTAATATTGTTTACGCGGTTGATAAGCACAATCACATGTATTAATAAAAAACTTTAACAAACGTTTTGAATAGATTTTTTATGTTTACAATGAATTTTATTTCTAGTAAAATAAGTAAAAGAGTTTCTGTAACTTTTAACAAAAAAGCGATTGTTATTATTTAAGTGATTTTTTTTACAAAAATTTTAATAACTGTACTTTTTTATTGAATCAAGTAGAATACGTTTTAATATTATTCCTTTTATTTTTTTATTTGCGCTTACCAATTTTTAAAATGTTTTCTCAAAATTACTCTTAAATATTTTAAATACGTCTAACAGTTAGTAAATACTTTTAAATCTATGGAATACTTTTAAAACCTAACAAACAACCGTAAAATAATTATTTAAGTTAAAAATCTAAAACTAAAAGAAAGTATTTTTGTTCAGTTTTATCGACAACTTTGCTATTGCTGAATAATTTTATTAAAATGTTAGCTTAAAAAGATTTCAACTTTTTTTTTAATCTGAATTTTTTTCTACTTGTAAATAATGAGCATATTTAATTTTTTTGTAATTCTAACTTTTTTATCAACTGCGTGCGGTTTTTAAAATACTTTATTAAATGTTAAAATAATCGTAAATTACTTCATTAAAATTCCGCTCAAAAATATCTTTAAATATACTCAAACAAAAAATTTTCTGCTCAACACAAATAGCCCTAGCTACACGCAAAATCGCTCTTAGACGACGTAAAATTCACATCGCCCGACGCTTTATTCGCAAGGCCTATATATATATATATATATATATATATATATATATATATATATATATATATATATATATATATATATATATATATATATATATATATATATATAACCAAAAATTAAAACAGCATGAATGTAAGACTTTTGAGAATAACGAAGCTATTAAGCAACACAAGCCGGATTTAGAATGAGGTAATCTCTCAATTGATTGTGTTAATTGATCACTCATGATTGTTATATCATTTATTTTTTAAAAGGGTTTTTTAACATGTTTTTTTTTTTGTTCTCAAGAGAACAATAAAAACAAAAAAAAAATCTTTAAAACATGATGATAAAAATATGAGTAATCAATTAACACAACTCTTATTAAAATTTTTGATAATTGTGTTTTGTTTACTGTTTTCAGTTTTGATGAGATGGCAAGCAAGGATTTGCCGGCATTTATAAATTACATAACAAATGTTACAGAGCAGCAACAGATATATTATGTTGGGCATTCACAGGGTACCATGATAGCATTTGCTGAGTTTTCACGCAACAAACAATTAGCTAGCAAAATCAAGAGATTCTACGCTTTAGCACCAGTAGCTTTTGTAGGCTCAATGACAAGTCCTTTAAAATATTTAGCTCCTTTTGTTCCAGAAATTGAGGTTTGGAGTTATTTATTTATGGATTTATTTGAATTTTACAATTTAATTGAAGTTTAATTCTCTTAGAAATTGATTAAATAATTTTTTAATAATATATTAAAGGTCGAGATGTTTTTATTTAATGATACGATTGTATATCTATTTTTATTTACATGTCCTGATTGAGATAATGCACTGATCTTACAAAATAATGTTTTTGGATAAGTCAGTCTATTTGGCCATGGTGAAGGCAACTTCAAGATAAGAAATTAAAAAAAAATCCTTATCACTTGAAGATAAGAAAACCCCACTTGTTATTCTTACCTTAATGTTATTCTTACTTGTGATGCTGTCACAATAAAAATATTTCGTTTTCTGAACTATATAAAACAGGTTAAAGCTCATAAGGTATCCAGTTATAAAAATTTGGTTTCAAAGCACATAATGTCAAATTTTAAAAAGAAAATATTACATTACTTGTTGCACATTTTTACACTTGAGGTGCACTTGATGATAGGTTGTTAGCCTCAGGTGAGTTGCGGGTCAGAAATGATTCATTAGTGAATGGCACGAACAGCAACCCTGGTTCGTATTAACACCAGTTGACCATCCTGTAAAGTAGCTGGTGAGACAACAGTGTGATGAAGGCATAAGAATTAAAATTCAGTTCTATGAAAGAAAAAATAGAACGATTGCTGAAATAGCTGGAAGGAAAAAGTTAGATATATGCTGCCAGCAAGAGACAAGAAAATTGCAGTGCTAAGGTTATTAAATATGATAATTGTTTAATACAAATTCTTCTAGGTTGGTTGTGAAGAACGATTGTCAGGCATTGGTAGCAGCAAAATGAATAAACCATGTAGTTTTATAGAGATAAGTGAATGAGATATTAATATTATATTAGGATTATTATCAGAGAGACTATTGGAGAGTTAGTGTAAAATATACAGTAGTGTGCAAAAGTAATAGGACAAGTGCATAACTTGAAATAACTTTTGAATGAAAAGTCAAATTTCTTTCAAATTTTCACTGGAATGTCAAAAAATTGATTACAGTTCTAAAAACAAATTAATTTTTACTAAATCTAAGCAATCTAATCTTAAATATTAATTTTATTGAAATATGTGCATGCAAAAGTATCCAGGCAGAACTAAAATAGTAAAATTCCAATACTTTGGTTAGCTTTTATTTAATGTTTAAAAGTGTTAAATAAAATATAAAGTATTTTTAATTAAAAAGAAGATTGTTTTGAATAAATTTAAAAAATGACAAAGCAAAAATAAACAAGTTTAGCTGTCAAAGAATTGGTATTGTGTGCAGTTGAACAAGGCAGAGCTACAAGAGACATAGTGGATCAGTTTGATATAGGAAAATCAACAGGAGCGGATATATGTAAAAGATATAAGGAAAGAAGTTACAAAAGAGTCTCTCTAAAGTTAGGAAGGCCTCAAATTACATCTAAAAGACAAGATAAAATTTTAATTTGTGCTGCAAAAAATGATCCATGCAAAAATGCTGTCTTGTTAAATGCTGAAATGAAAGAATTTTATATTGTAAATGTAGTGTTGACACAACCAAGCATTGTTTGAGGTCTGCAAATTTATTTGGAGGACATCCCACAAAGAAACCTTTTATTCCTATAAAGAATCGAAAAGTACGTTTGAGATTTGCTATTGAACATTTGAATTGGTCAAGAGAACAATTGTCGAAAGTACTTTTTAGTGATGATTCTAAGTTTATGTTATTTGAATCTGATGGTATAAGATATGTTTGTTGACCAAAAGGCCATAGAAATGATTCTAAATACCAGCTACCAACAGTAAAGCAGGAGGTTGAAACATTATGGTCTGGGGTTGCTTCAATAGAGATTGTGTTGGTCCTATCCATTTGATTGATGCCATAATAGACAAAAATATATACAAAGATATCATTAAGTATGTTATGGTACCACATGCTAAAATGCCTTGAGGATGGATATTTCAGCAGGTTATTGACCCAAGCACCTTTCAACCCTTGTGAAAGACTTTTTCAAGACCAAAAAAATTCGATTAATGGTCTTCCCAAAGTCCTGACCTTAATCCTATAAACATCTATGGGAACACCTAAATTTTAACACCCAACATTTTTAATTAAAAAAATGTTTAAAAAAAAATCTACTTCAAGTATTTTTTTCTGCCTGGATACTTTTTCACGCGCATATTTTAATAAAATGAACTTTTAAGATTAGGTTGCTTAAATTTAGTAAAAGTTCATTTGTTTTATAGAATTGTAATCAGTTTTTTGACATTCCAGTAAAAATTTGAAAGAAATTTGACTTTTCATTCAAAAATTTTCTCAAGTTATGTGCTTGTCAAGTTACTTTTGCACGCTATCGTAGTTTCATCATATGCATTTCAAAGAGGGAGGGAAAGAGTAGAAAAGAAAGAGTTTGACAATTTGGTAATGTTTTGAAAAATGTTGGTGAAAGACTAATTTTATGTGGAGACATAAATGGGCATATTAGTGCAGCCACAGATTGTTTTTTGGATAAAAGTAATGGAAAAGGAGAATAAAGAGAAAGTTGTTTGGCTTATAAAATATTGCTGGGGAATTGTTTTTAGAAATTTCAGATTTTTTTTTTTTTTTTTTTTTTTTATTTGCATTCACTCCCAACAAGGCTGCAAGCAACCACTATTAAGTTGGGAGTTACTAGGAAAAAAAAGAACAGAGTTATAGAGCAAAGAAACGGTTGACAGAAGACTTGAAAAGTTGAAGGTTGTATGAGTCAGGAAAACATGAAGATGGGAGAGAGTTCCAAAGGATTGAAGTGCGGCGAAAAAAACTAGATGAATAAAAGTTTTTAGAGCATGCAGCGACAGATACAGTAAACGAATGAGACTTAGCTGAATGACGAGTAAAACGAGAATGAATTTTAGTTGATGGAACTAGAGATGATAACTCCTTTGAGCAGTGACCATGATAGTATCTGTAGAAAAGAGAAAGAGATGCAACTTTACGACGATGGGAAAGAGGTTCAAGCTTAGCAAATAGTCCAGGTCCAACAACATTTACAATGCGTTTTTGGACCTTGTCAAGAAGAGAAAGTGAATCGTTAGAAGAACCAGCCCAAATATGACAACAGTATTCCATACAGGGACGAATAAGAGATTTGTAGAGGTAGAGAATGGAATCAGAAGTAAGGAAATGGCGAGCACGATAAAGAGAAGCAACCTTAGCAGAAGCTAATTTAGCAATCGATTGTATATATGGTTTCCATGAAAGGTCAGTAGTAAGCGATAATCCAAGAAGATGTAAAGAGGACGACTCAGTAAGAGGATTGCCATTCATTAATATAGGAATGTTGACCATATTGCGGTAGTTGTTTGCAGTAAGCAATTGGGTTTTTTTAGAGTTGAAATTCACAAGCCACTGTGAACCCCAATCTATTACTGAAGTGAGATCAGATTCAAGATCAGCTGCTTGTTCTAGGCGATCGAAAAGAGAAGACTTTTTGTCAAGACAGGAGTATAAAGTTGAGTCATCAGCAAAAAGAGCTACTTTAGATGAAAGGTTGTCAGGAAGATTGTTTATGTAGATAAGAAACAAAACAGGGCCCAGGATGGAACCTTGGGGAACCCCAGAAGTTACTGGAAATAAAGAAGAGTGTTGGCCTTCAAGGATGACTTTAATAAACCGGTTAGAAAGAAATGATTTGATAATCTCAAAAACTTTCCCAGAAACACCATATGAAGCAAGCTTATGGAGAAGACCAGCATGCCAAACTTTGTCGAAAGCTTTAGATATGTCGAGAGCAATAGCCCTAGCCTCACCGCCTCCATCTAATGCACAATAAAATCTTTCAGTTACAGCAGTTAGCAAGTCGGCCGTAGAGTGAGAGGATCGAAAACCGTATTGATTGTCTGACAGCAGTTTATTTGACTCAAGATGAGATGTGAGGAATTTGTTGATCAAAGACTCAAAGACCTTGCTAATAACAGAAAGAAGACTGATCAGACGATAATTGGAGGGGTCAGAATTTTCTCCAGAGTTTTTGAATATTGGAACCACAGATGCCATTTTCCAACAAGCAGGAAAACAAGACTTAGTCAAACACTTGTTAAATAGTTTAGAGAGAATTGAAGAAAGTTCTGGAGAACAATTCTGCAAGACTGTGACAAGAATGTTGTCTGGACCACAAGCTGTAGACGAGTTTAATTGAGATATGACTTTAGCAACAGAAGCCGGAGTGATTTGAATGTCTAACAATGGGTCAACCTGTTTGACTGGAATGGAAGGAAGAGAATGTCCATAAGATTCAAGAGTGGAATAAGAAGAAAAGTTCTTTGCTAACAGTTCTGCCTTATCCCTGGGAGAGGTAACAAGATCAGTCCCATGAATGAGAGATGGAATGTTAGATCTACCCTTGTTAACAATGCTGTTGAAGATTTTCCAAAAGTCTTTAGAGCCTAACTTCTGCGATAAGATGCGAGATTTAGTGAACTGAGAATAATGGAGTTTAGCATCAGAAAGCACCTTTTTACATTGATTTCTTGCAATAATAAATAGCCGTTTGTTCTCAAGAGAGTTGTTCTTTTGAAAAAGATGAAAAAAATGGTTATGATTGGATATAGCAGCCGCACAAGAAGGAGAAAACCATGGAGTAGAATGAGGCTTGACTTGAAACCGACGAGAAGGAATAAAAGCTTTCATTCCAGCCTGAATCCAGGAGGTTATGTAGGAGGCGCATTTGTCAGCTGAGAGAAAAAAAACATCAGCCCAAGGACCATCACGAAGAAAATCACGAAAGGAATCCCAGTCAGCTTTAGGGTAGTAGTAGGTGGTGTGATGATAAGGTGAGCCCAAAAAAGAAGTACAAGAAGAAAGATTTATAGAGATCATTGCATGGTCAGAACCACCTAAGGGAGAAAAGGGAGAAACTGAACATAAGCTAGGGTCAGAGACAAGACATAAGTCAAGGAGTGAAGGTAAATGATTAGGGTTGTCAGGAAAACGAGTCACAAAGTTAACTATCTGAGTAAGAG